CGTTATAATTATCGTGATAGCTATCGTCATAATTATCGTGATAGCTATCGTCATAGCTATCATTATTACTTGTTTTGGCAATCTTTTTTTTTTTTTGAAAATTGCAATTATTATGTTAGTTCAAAAGAAACCTGTACCGAAAGTTGTTATTATCCGCAGTAAATTCGGATCTTAATAAAAAATATCTAATTAGTAATTAGCCTCAGTGCTTACTTCCTTTATGTTAATTAAGAGACACAACGTATACTTTAATAAATAAGTAAAGAAAACGTATTGAGGGATCGATTATTTAATTAGCGAAGTTTTTATGTTTGTAACTTAAGGATTCGGAATTTTAAGGTAATAGTGAATTTGTTTTTAATTACTAATTTTATTTTTAATTTGTAAATCGTAACTGGTCCTTTTGGAAAGGCAAAAAGGACCTATATTTATACATTTTTACTCGTGAAGGCTATACTAAGTAAATTCTATATGATTATATCGCGCAAGTCTTCGTGAGCAGTTGCTTCGCCTGTGATTAAACCATCCCAAGGTCTAATCTATGGCTTATTGATTATACGCCATAGCCCCAACTGCTCATTTTAATGTTTTACTCTTGCCTAACTGCTCACCATTATGTTTATGGGCGTAGCTACTACGGTTCTTAAACGTAAACAAAGGCATAAGCAGGACGAATTACAAATAAATAACTATATACTGAAATAATAAAAGACTATAATAATATAACTAAATAAATAGATAATAAGAAAATAAAAGAATAAACAAAAATTAAGAAAACTCGTGATTTGAACCGGGACACAAATTTACATTCCAATAATACATCTCAATAAAAACAAACTTTTTATATTTAAATAATTGTTATGTACTAAGAATATTTTTGTATTAATTTTACCAATAATACAATTTTTTAACCAATTAGATCACTATAAACTAAAAAAAATAACAGATTTTTAAAAATTATCAATAAATAAATAATCATAAATGTAAGTAGTTGTCTATATCCATATATTTATGAACTATTACTCATACTACTTTCATCAGAAATAGAATATTTTCTCTTTCTTCTACGATTTATTTCCTTAGCAACGTACCAAATCCAACTTATTAAATTCATAGCTATTACTAGTGATGAAGTTATAAGAGTAAGTAAAGGTATGATGTAATAAACAATCGTATTTTGTTTATACAATATCTATAATAAAAATATAAATAAATAAACCATTTTTTTTTTTTTTTTATTGAACTCATTATTATTATTATTATAGTTTTTTAAAAAATAAAATTTACCTGAACTACAAGTTGACCCAAATCTTCAATAAAAACATTAATAAAACTAATCCACCATAACCATAAATTAGCAGTTTCAGAATAAGTAACTTTAAAAAGATTAGGAATTAAATTTTGTAATTTTTTAAAGATATTCTTATTTTCATTATTATCATCATCATCATCAATCCATGACCATTCACCTAAATTTTCTTCTATTTGTTTTTTTTTAATTTTAGAATTTAAATCGGAATTTTTTGTTGTAAATAAATTTGAATCAAGTAAATGAAAAAATTCTGTATTAATAAATGAAAATATTGATATTATAATTGTTAAAATTATATGATTTTTAAAATAATCATGAAAATGAGGATTTTCGGAAAATTCATGCATTATTAATACAAAGGCAAAGGTAGTATTTATGGATAAAGGGATAGAAAATAAAATGATGCTATTTTATTAAAATTTTAAAATAAGTATAATATATTAGTTGAAAATCTTAAAAAAAATAAGAATTCAATTTATTTAAAAAATTTTTTACACACCTTGGAGAAAATAACCAACCGATATCTTGTCCATGAAACAAGATAAATAGTAAATCCAATATAAAATCCGTTAAAATCAACATTAATTTTAAAATTATAAATTTATTTCCCTGTTTTATTAATTTGAAGGATATTAGAGTTATAACCTCAAAATACAAAAATAAAATAAATAATAGATTCGAATTTACATCACGTTGTTTCCTAGTTACAAAATACCAAATAATGATTATAGCAAAAACACTCAAGAGCAACCCGAGTAATAAGAACCTATATTCTTGAAATACATTTGCTTTTTTTGGTTTGATTATAAAATGAGTTAATTAAATATTTTTGTAAAATGAATAGTTATTAACGTTTTCTATAAGTACTCACAATTCCATTGGACACCATAATTTTTATCAATTCCTGCTGTTAAATTCATCATTCCTACTGGTGAAATATCATGATTCCTGACTAAAGTGTTTAAATCACTAATTACTTTTGCACTTCTCACTTCACCATTAGTCTCTGTTCCGATTAAAATAGGTATTATCAAACCACCTTGAATTGAGATATTCGATGGAATTTTAAAATTGGATGGAATTGAAAGTCGAGATAAAGAGACGGGAGTAATTTGGGCAAGTTGAGATAGAAATTGAGAAAAAAATTGAGATTGATTTATAGTTGTTGAAATATTTAAGACGGGATTTGAGAGTTTTAGGAGAGCTGTTTCTGGACCTGAAAAATCGAACAATTATAAAGTGATATATAAAGTAGTTGAAGTGTTGAAAAACTATTAAAACTACTTATAATACTAACTTGAATATGAATCAGCATAATCACCTACATAAGCAAAAAATTTTTAGTCAACCACATATTAGAATTTCGTATCAAATTAATAGAAAAAAAAAACTTACGAGTTGAAATAGTCCAAAAACCGTCCACAACACCAACGAGAGCCATATCCGTTGACTCACTTCTCACAAAGTCATCATCCATTTTAATAAAATATATTGCTTTTGGTTGATTAAAAGTACTTTGTAATAATTTGAGAGTAACTACAGTTTTAGAAGAATCTAATTTACA